CGCGAAGAGATTTGAAAATAAACATACTTTGCTCGTGCAGATACAGACAGAATGTTCGCATAGATTTTGCATGCGACAAGTGCCGGTAGGAGTTTAGAAAAAAATCGAATTTGCTCTTCCATAAAAAATTAAAACATAGAGATCACAATTATTTTTCACGCGAAAAATGTGAAAAGAAATTTGGAGTTCAAAGCAATTTGATAAAATATCAAAAAAAAGTACATGAAATTCACAAAGAATTCGCATGTGATAAGTGCGATAAGAAATTCGGATGTAAAAAAAAATTGTTTTAAGCACTCAAAGACAGGAAGACCAAAGGACTCGCAAACGGTTCATATGTTTGATGATATTTATTACACAATTTTTATATCTTTTATAAATTACTGGTATGAACCCGTCTAAAAAAATATTAATTAATTCGGTACTCACCTGTTGTATAGCAGTCTCTATCGCCAACGTAAAGTTTTCAAATTGTACGCTATCAATTTTCAACGACGCACTACACGACTTGAGTTGACGAGAGTTACCGAATGAATGATTGAAAAAGGCCATCGCAACTATGCATTAGTAGACAAAATAGCACAAGTACACAAAATCTTTTTGTTTGCTGTAGACTGTATTTTGCTTGGACCCGTACAATGTCAAATTAAACAAGCTTGGAATCTATTCGGGTGCTTCGAAATTTCAAAACAATAACTTTTTTGGAAATCGCCCACTACTCGGCATACTAGACAAAAAGTTACGAAAACAACAACTGCCAAAATGCAGTTTGTTTATTACAAGTTAACTCGCGTTTATTGCATTACACGTTAATAACCAAGATTCAACGACCAATCATGCCAGGTCTATTTCAAAGATACAATCGAGACATCACATTTTTAAAATTAATAATATAATTTTAGTATTATTATAATTCAAAGTATGAAATATAATTTGAAAAATTATCGATGCAACTGCCAATTATTTTTCTATTATTTGTAACTCTTATGATGAAATGAGTTCATTTCTAATACTGCATGTATTCTTCGCATAATTTGACGATAAATTGACAAAATGGCGTATTTCTCCTTATCAATGACTTGAGCCGAGATGGTGCCATTACATGAAAATACTACATTTTATGGTGCTAGCACTACTGATAGTATTATCTCTATACAAGTAAGTGATATGCATTTTTGAACAGAACTAAGTATCAAAATTATTTACTTATGGTAAAAGTAGAAAACCAAAGTCAGACTAATTATTTGAATGATAAAGATCGGTCCATTTTTAACAAAAAATAAAAAATTAATTCACCTATAGTTGTATTCAATTTAAGTAAATTCCTTGAAAACCCACTTGAAAATAAATACAAATAACAAAAAGATAGCAGTGTTGAGATATAATAATCCGAGCTCTCATCAGTGCAACATGTGTCAAAAAACGCGTAAAGGTCAATTTTCAATTCGAAATATTCAAAGTACAAATGTAAATTCGACACATAAAAACATTAGATTTTATTAATTTGACATTTTCCCTTAGTCATTTACATAAAAAAACTCACACAACTACAATCTAATAAATTCTTTGAATGTGATATTTGTCACAAAACATTGAGGAAAATAGTCATCTCAAATCTCACATATAAACAGTTCATAATTGTTGTCGCAAAAAGAATTAATTATTCATTGACATCGGCATAAGTCCCAATGCCGAGATTATAGGCACCAAAATTCATATCGATGTCAATTTTCCGATACCGATTTTGAAGAAATTTTTTGGATGCTTCAGGACTTCAAAAAATATTATTGATTATTCTAAAAATTAACTCCTGGTGATCTGAGCCGATTATACCAAGCTTGGAACATTTAAAATTATTTTTAACATTAGAATTCATAATCTAAAAATTGTTGAGGTTTTTTCGGGTTAAGTAACGAACTTTTTAGAGCCAAATATTTTTTTGTTAAATAAAAATCATTTTTAGGACGACCCAAGGGATTAAAAAATATGACAAACAATATTTCTTAATTTTAGTACGGGCGTCATCTGAATGAATTTTCGGGCTCGCGGTCAGGTTAACATTATTTTCAATAGAATGAAAAAATTATTAATATTCTCAAAGATATGAACTATTTTCATATAATTCCACGTTTGCACCTAGTTTATCTTTAATTTTTCAAAATGCTTGTCTCTTTATTTATTTTTTGATTAGATTTCGATTAACATGATAATTAGTATAAGAATTGAATATCAATAATTGAATGATAAAGTTGAAAGTTGCCAGTTTAGTAACTTATAACTGAATTATTCAATTATTCGTCACCAGTCACGTAACTGATAATTGAATCATTCATTTGTTGATTCCTCGAGTGGTAACTAATAAATGAATCAATCAGTTACCAGTTATTCATCCAGTAATTGAAAACTAATTTATTCAGTTATCAGCTAATAATGAAGTAATAGATAACTGAATCAATCTGTTATCAGTTACTTGAATATTAATTGATAACTGAATGAATCAAATTCAGTTATGTTTTCAATTAAATTGAATAATCAATTAGCTATCGGCAACACTGCATTATTGGACAATGCGACACGAATCGCGTCATCGCGATATTTAAGCGAATGCTACAGCCACCAATTCGCATCAAAATCTATTAAAAACTATCGCTAGGAAGCAAGCTCTTAGAATGTGCAAGATTTTTGAATCATTCGAAAAACTATCTCCTATTTCATTCCAGTCATGTAAATCTAAAAATAATGTCGATTTCGAAAAATTTCATATAAACGGTAGTACATACAACGTTGGATCGTTCATAGTTTTGAGTTTGAAAGATCCTGATGTTAGTTTCGGAAAGATTTTATCGATAAAAAAAATAGTATCTATGGATGAAACGGTTTCAGTAGAATTTTCGGTAGAAGTGTTTGAGGAATGTTTGTTCGATGATCATTTTATGGCTTATATAGTTACTAAATCTAATAAAAATCATGTTGTTAACTCAAATTGTATCCCACACATGCCTCCTGTAACTGCTGTACAACGAAAAGAAATGTTTTCTATAATACCTAAGTATATTTTGTAAATATTGACAAAAAATAAAATGTAAAAAATTCCAAGTTGTAATTTTAATTAAGTCCTTTTTTATGTAGATTATCTAGAATAATAACATACATTGTGTGTTATTATTCAAGAAAAACATAAACATGCGGTTAACTGAAATATCGGTGCAAAACTCCGTGAGCCGATGCTGAAAGTGGGAAGACTCCACCAGTGACTTGAGTGTGTGATGCTCAAGTTCACCGGAGAGTCACACTCGCTTGTAATAAGAGAGGGGAGAGCGCCAGTTTGGTGAGCTGCGAGTTCGAGTGTCGCTCGTGCGCGCAGCGCTCAAGGACTAGTGCGTGATGCATGCCAAAAGTTTCTCAGTGTATGAGAAGCGTGGAGTGATGCTGCTCTTGTCTTCCATATACTTGCCGTTCAGAGCGCGACACTCGCTCCACGATTCTCAGTTTGTCAGTCAGGACTTGTTATTTTAAAGATAATTACATTTTGTGGATCTTGAACTAAAATCATAAGTATAGAACCATCATTTTTATTGTTACAGCACTTTTTAGAGTTAAAAAAGCTCTGCTCGTGAACCGATATTTGCGATGGCTTATATGCTGAAAGCCGCCGCTGTCCAGAAATCAACGCTCTTTTTCGTTGTTTCAACAAGTCTTGAAAATATAAAAATTTTTCAAAGGATAAATCAGAAAGCTCATCAGCTGAATCATTTGTAGCTAGTACAGATGGGTTCAAGAAATTTAAAGCCAGATTTTCTTTGCCCAACGTTTGTTTCTCAGGGAAAAAAGCTTCCGCAGGCGAAGAGGCAGCTACACGATTTCCTACACAGTTAAAAGCATCTTATTAAGGAATAAGGCTATGACCTGATCAGATGTTCAACTGCGATGAAGCCGAGCTGTACTGGAAAAAAAATGCCATCACGCACTTATTTAACCAAAAATGAAGCATCAGCAACTGGCTTTAAAGCGTCTAAAGAGGTCCCTTTGCTTTTTTACGCCAATTCTGCTGGCACCTATCGGGTGTAAACCAATGTTGGTGTACAAGTCAGAAACCACTCGGGTTTTGAAGAACAAGTGAAAGGATCGCTTGCCTGTCTTTTTTAAATCTAACAAAAGCGTGTGGGTGACCAAAAACATTTTTCAAGACTGGTTTAGAACTTATTTTATGGCACGCTAACCTAAAAATCGCAACTTCGCCGCTACTTTTAGGCTTTTGTACCATAAAATATTGTATGCAACTGATACGGATATGCTTTTCCAACGAAACTCGTTACAGCCCTCGCCTTCGGCTCGTGCTGCAACCCCTCGTTTCGCTGAAAAAGTATATCCGTACCCGTTGCATAAAGTACTATTGTTGTCGAGGTTAAAGAATTTCTTACAAGAAAAAATTTAGCATTTAAAGTTCTCCTTATTCTTCTTGATAACGTTCGAAATCATACCTTTCTTCAAACAATCCATCCAGATGTTGAGGTTCTTTTTTCATCGCCAAACATGACACCACTACTGCAAACAATGGACCTGAGCATAATATGGCTACGTTTAAAGCTTTCTATTTGATACATGGAAAAAATTTTAATCGTTATCAATCAAGAATCTCAGAATCTTCAGTCAACGCCCAGAGTTAAAAAATTTTAGAAAGATTTCAATACCTTACAGTCCATTTGGTACGTTGAAGGATCGTGGAATAAAATCACAGAATCCACTCTCAATAGATGCTGGTCAAAATTACTCTCAGATGTCGTGATTGATTGCTCGCGCTACCAGCGCCTCGAAAGCAAACTCAAGCACCAAAAATGAGAAAGTAAATTTTATCAATTTTGTTCACTTTTTTAAGAAACTGAAGTTTGAAATAAGTAGGGTTCAAAACATGTAGTTGTATAATGAAATATAATTCTTACTAAGACAACTCATACAAATTATAAATTTTTAATAACGTAAAATTTTATTGAGTATACATATTGGTAAGGAAATAAAAATATATAAACAGTGTCTGCGGATTCACAAAGCAATATCTAAAATAAAAAATTTTAATTAACATTAACTTTGAGTATTCTGGACTTTGTCATGGATAAGCTCAGTTCTCGATGAAAATGATAAAATATACAATGGTCTGGTGAAATCGACAAATACAGAATATTTATACAAAAAATTCAAAAAAATTCCCAATAACAAATGCCTATGTTTAGTATCCTATAATATTTATGGTACTCATTATTTGTCATTAGAATCATAAATAGAGATTCAATTGCAAACCCCTTTAATACGGTGTAAATCTATTGTAACCGCTTCTATAAACTGTTGCCTGAAATTAAAAAATATTTGAATTGTTAAATATATTTAATACAATTATTGATTTGTCTGAAAATTTGATCATTTTATAAAAATGCGAGGACGATTCTTTTAACAAAAAGTAATTTTAATTTAGTAGGGCATTTAAATATTCCATTAGTTCACAAACGAACAATCTTCCATCCTTATAAAATACAACATATAAATCCATTAATCAGTACGTAATACATTTTTTCGTGACCTGCCAAAAATTAAAAATAATTGATTGCCCAAAATATTGCATAACTGAGGGCAAGAAAGAGGCTTTAATTTTTTAAATTTTTATTTCAGAACATTAAAATATTTCAGAATAATTATCTACATGAATTTACCGATTAAACGCATTTTATAAATAATTCTAAAGAATGTTCAGTCAAATTTCAATTTGAAACGATTAGAAAAAGCACAGTGTGCTTAAAAAGCATTAAGGTACGGAAATAGCCACTCAGTCGGTATTTGATATCCAATTATTTTGTCCTCATTTTTCTCTATAAATAATGAATTAATCATCTTAGAGCTTTGTATTTAAAATTAAGAGTTTCGTACAATTATGCCTGTAGTCTTATTATCACAAAATAATATTAAAAGCTCACGTAAATAAACTTTTATGAAAGTTCAATCATGTTTATAGAGGTTATAAAAATCAAAATTCAACGATCAGTTCAATTTACTCGAAAGTCTAGACAATTACGTAAAAAAAAGAGAACAGGTATAATCGTATCCATCTCCTGATCGGAAATACAAAATTTCATGATTATTGATTCATTGCGCATAGTAAAAAATGAGTTGAAGCCCCTCTTAATTAGTTTTATCTAAAGGCCCTTTCACAAAATTTTTGAGCATGAAGTTTTTTATATTGTTTAATTTTAATGAATACCGAGTAGCGTATCGTAGTATTAGCCTAAAACAGTCAAGTCCAAGTGACTGAAGAAAGGTTTTGGTAGTTTGGTCTTTTAAGTCTCGAATATTTGTTAGAAAAATAAACACTCTGGCCGAATTGGTTTACTGTGCCTAAAAAAGGATTAAAAAGCAAACCAATTTGAGCTAAAATTAATGTACTTTTCTATAATTATATTGATGCAAAAGATGAAAAAACAATTTTTATAATTTTCTGTTCCTTCTTTTTCACCCATTTCTAACATCAATTTGATGTGATTCCCACATTGCGTATAAGATTACTTGATCAATGATGCTGAATCAAAAAATTGTTCCATCTTTTGCATCAATATTTATAGTAAAGTACATTAATTTTAGCTCAAATTGTTTTACTTTTCAAGATTTGCATAGTGAGCCAATTGGGCTTGAGTGTTTATTTTTTTAATAAGAATTCAAGACTTGAAAAGGTCAAAGTACCAATACTTTACGGTCGGTTAGACTGTACTGTTTTAGCCTGATACCATGATACACTATTATATGGTATTTATTAATATTAAATAATATTAAAAACTTTATTGGGTTACTGACATCTCGCCCTCGGACAACTCGACCCCACGACAACTGGAACTCCGACAACTTAAGCCTCAAAAAAAAAAGTATGCAGTAATAACGTAAAAAAAGTAGCCCAAATAACCCAAGGAGCCTAGGAGTTTATACTTTATCTCAAAAATAACCCAAGAGAAATAGAAATTGGAAAATGAAAGTGTTAGAGGAGAGGGACTGAGTAAGAGTGTTAAATTTGAACGTAGGGAACAGCATTGCATTATTTTTAATTTATCGATTAAAAATTAAATTTGATTTAACAAATTTAATTTCGAACTGCTCAAATTAAAAATTCAAATTAATTGTTAATTTCAAACTGCTCAAATTGAAAATGCAAATTAATTATTAATTTCAAACTGCTAAAACTAAAATTTCAAATTTATTGTTAATTTCAAACTGATCAAATTAAAAATTCAAATCTAGTGTTAATTTCAAATTGCCAGAATTGGAGAATCGAATTTTTCTTTTTCTTTTTCTTTTTCACTCTCTTTCAACTCGTATATGTGCACGGAAAGTAGCTGGTGTAAGTAGCCGATGTGGAATGAGATGAAGTTTTCGCACCATGTACACACCACTACTTTCTCTTATGAGATAACGAGAGCATGTGCAAATTTGGATTAATTCACGTGCACTGCCCAACTTACTGTAATCGACTGAGGTCTCTCTCTATTATTCAAATGTAGTATTAGTTCTAACGCGTAATAATGGTTACATATTGACCAGTCATTAGAGCACTGGTAATCAATACAGTAGGAATTCCAGTCCTTGCACTTACCTTAAGGAGACACATACACTTTAAACTCAAAAAATTTTTTATTGCTTTTATAAGTAGGATTTTTCCGTCCCTTTCCATTGCTTTTTTTTGAAATTTCATAATTTTGATTTTGCCCTGAGATACAGCTGTTTCCGTGAACCCTTTTCCTATACTTTACGTGTTAAATTTTTTCTTCTTTTGCGTTTTCTGGCGAGTAGTGTTTTTGGTCATCTATCGTAATTTTCAGAGGGTGCCGATTGAGCTTCAGCACCAGGGTCGCGTACACTTCTTCAGAACATCAATGGTTACGGTCACTACCTCGGATGAGACGATCGAACGGGCAGATTGCTCTGCATGAACAGTTAAGCACACATTTTTTTCCATTTTTCGTATTTACCGAAATTTGAGTCATAAAAGTACTGTTTGAGAGCGACCTACTGGTTCGATGGGTTCACGGAATTAGCTGTATCTCAGGGCAAAATCAAAATTTTGGAATTTCGGAAAAAGCAATGGAAAGGGACGAAAAAATCATACTCAATGAAGCAATAAAAATTTTTTGGAGTTTAAGGTGTATGTGTCCCCTTAAATTTCATAAATGTACTATCGATAATTTGAAACTCATTCACAAACAAAATTTACGCCACAATTTTGCAAACTTTTTTTGGAGTAAATTTATTAATAAATTATTTTTATAATAAATTAAAAATTAAAAATTAAAAATTAATCATTCAATTGAATTATTAATTTGAAAATTCCCCGACTACTAATTCAAATTAATTTTCAATTTAATACTTGTTAAATTAATAATTCAAATTGGTTCATAATTTTGAAAGTTTTTAAATTAAAATTAATCTGAATTATGAATCGTGACTCGTTAAAATTAAAAATTAGATTTAATTGTTTAATTTCGGCCAATTTAATTAAATTTTTAATCAATTAAATGCAACACTGGTAGGGAATATGCTACCACATTTTATACTCATACAATCAGACAGACGCATATAGAAACGAAAAGAAAATTTTTTTAGGGTCAAGATGTTGCCAGGGCGAGTTGATTGAGGGCAACTCCATTATCCGTCTCCCACTACATTACGCTTAAAAATATTGTAAAAGAGCACAACAATTTTCAGAACATTTGGTGATCCGGAGAGAAAAGGCTCTTCTTGTCAGTACTGACATCTACTTTCATTCTCTTTATTGATGTGAAACATCTATATTCGTGTTTGGTATCAGGGGTAAACCCGTAAAAACCGAGCGTCCGTCCGTTCGTCCGAGCGAGCGCAACTTTGGTAATAAAACTGCCTATACAGCGTTTGCGCTATGCGTTGTGATTGGCTGCCACGCCAGACTATGCACTATCATGCACGTTGTCAAATCTGATATTAATTGATGCATGTATGTATACGTGACTACGAGCCTGTATCTTCTTAAAGGAAGTTGAAATTTTTATCATGTTATATATTAACATACAATTAAGGGCTAATAGGGGGCTTAATTATTTATCATTATTCAATTACAGTATTAGGCTGTAAAAGTAAGAAAAAATGTTTTTTTTAATAACACAAATGATAACCTTTTTCAATAGCCTATTTGAAAGTATTTTGTCCAGTTAGATACTAAGAAACAGTTAATTAGTTTCATTTTGTTCGATAGCCAATTGGCCATGGTCGCAACCAAAAGTTAGTCATAAGATGAACTGTAGCTGCTTGTACATATAGCAAAGTGAAATTAATTTATGGAAAATGATAAAAAATGAATACTAAATTCTAAAAAATTGTACACAGGAGTAGCTACAGTTCATCTTATGGCTAGCTTTTGGTTGCGACCATGGCCATTTGGCTATCGGACAAAATGAAACAAATTAGGGTACCATCGATTAATGCTTGCTCTTGGATTTCTACGACAAGTAGCTTAGACGTGTTTAAAGCTTTTGTTGAGTATTAACAGCCCCACTATTAATGTACTTAACTGTTTCTTAGTATCTAACTGGACAAAATACTTTCAAATAGGCTATTGAAAAAGGTTATCATTAGTGTTATTGAAAAAAACATTTTTTTTACTTTTACAGCCTAATACTGTAATTGAAAAATGATGAATAATTAAGCCCCCTGTTAGCCCTTAACAACAACCGCTCAATGCACTAATTTTATATTATAAGTCATCAATAAATAATTTGATAAAAATGTACTTTGGAAACGTGATTTCCAATGAAAAATCTAAACAAAAAAGAAATTAAAAATTAAAAAATTTAAAAAAAAAATCAGCTGTTTATGAACAGCTGCAAGATGTGAAACATCTTTGTCAATTAATTAAAGAAAATTTAATAATTAAAAAAAAACTAAAAAAATCCAAAAACATGAATCAATAGTTAAAACAAAGAACCAAACTAGATGTTGGGAGAGCCTTTCTCGACAGCGCAATCGGCGCGGGGCCCTCTGGTCTCCCTGAGTTCCCCCGGGCGAGGCGTGCGTGTAGTTACATGATTGATGGAGCGCTGCTGCGCACATCCTACACGCATCTTCCCCGCTTGTCCGGCTGCGGCGCCTCACTTGCTACCGAGCCCTTGCTGCCTACGCAACGCTTGCTTCGAGCACCTCAAATTTACTTCTATTTTTGTTAGCTAAACGCTCTGTATAAAAAATATTCGTTCGAGCACATAGAGTCTTTGAGTCATACAGTTTCAATAAAGTTTATAGTGTTAAACATTAATTCTGTGCCTCCACTTTATTTTAATCCTGCTCCACTCAATCTACGCGATCAACATCAAATTTGCTCCAACACTAGAAACTAAAAATACAAAAAACCAAACTAGAAACTAAAAAAACAAAAAACCAAACTAGAAACTAAGAAATCAAGAAACAAGAAAAAAATTCAGAAAATCCCAACACAAGCATCGATGTTTCACATCTGGTGAATAATGAATGAGTGCTTACTCTTAAAATCAGAGTAGTCTCTCGATCATAATTGCACCAGATGTGAACCATCGATGCTTGTGTTGGGATTTTCTGAGTTTTTTTTCTTGTTTCTTGATTTTTTTTACTTTCAAGTTGGGTTTTTTGTTTTTTTAGTTTTTAGTTTGGTTTTTTATTTTTTTAGTTTCTAGTTTGATTTTATCCCTCATTTCTCTCTCGTCGGAATGAACTCAATTATTTATAGCACTGCGTAGTAAAATTCACATTTATGCCGCCGAGTCATGAAAAGCGTGCCATAAACAGTGCTATAAAATGTAGTACGATACTCGTGCCATGGGGACACTTTTCGGCCCAACCATTAGGACCAAACTACGCTGAGAAAAAAAATTCATTGATTCAATGAAATCTAATTAAATATTTTTAATGTATTAATTTAATCAAATAATTGGTTGAAGCAATAAAACTTTGGTAATAACGATTCAATATTTTGTTAGAATAAATACAAAAAAGATTATTTCAATGAAATTATTTCATAGATTGTATTTAATTAAATATTTCATTGAATCAATGAATTTTTTTCTCAGTGTACGCCGTGCTAAAAAGTGTTACTTATGACACTTGTATCGGTAAGTACTATTATTAAATCATGTTACATGAGTTAACAATAGTATAGTAATACGTGAAAGATTATGATCTTTCAACCACCTGGACATAATTAGACAGTCAAATCTAACCTGTCAGATAAAGTCCCTACAAAAATCTTTAAGGTATGTTCTTAAAGCGAGGAGTGTTCAACGACATTTGATCACAAAAGCTACTTATGAAATTGATGGGAGCTGTTTCATGTAAAATGCAAAAAAGTTGTTTGATTTAACAATTGAATGTATTATTTGAAAAGTTCCATACCCCATATCCTGTTACAGGACCAATGCCATGTCCTATGTAGGGGTCTGAAAAATCACGACCATATCTGAAAATAAAACATAAAAATCAGATTACACCATTGAATTTCAAATATAATATAAAATTAGCGAACCATCTCAATTACTATTGAAATAGGTGTCGATGTTTGTTTACAAGTTGTATATAAATATTTATATCGAGCAATTATTAATGTGATTAAAGATTAGTATAGATTTAACATAGCAGTTGTACATTCTACATACATACTAGTGAGTGGCTACTCATGTATTACGACTTGATGCGGCGCGGCGCACGCATCTTCTATGCATAATTTCAATGATACACACGACAGGTAATAAGTACCATAATTTTGGGCACGCTCAGCCAGTAAAAACAATACCGAATTGATCGGCCTAGATTTATCGCTTAGTTCTTATGCCTCTGCTAATAAAACTAGTGCGAAAATACGATTCGCGCGTCAGAAAAATTATCACTCGCTGCCACGAGTATGAATGGATAACTGAGAAAAGCTATAAAACGGTTGTGATCGTTACTTCACCAATTTAGGACAAAGAGTGACATGAGGTCCGTTAGTTATGCGCGCATGCAAGACATGTGTCAATCATGGACCCATATCGACCTCAAGATTTACGCAGCAACCGCCTAAGTGAGGATAAAGTTAAGATTTACAAAACCTCCAGTAAATGAGGATGATTGTTTGCTCTGTATTTTCTCTAATTTTGTAATGGACGTATTGTCCCGTCGAGAAACGGAACTTTTGTAACTTTTCGGTTACAGTGATCTTATTAATTTTTTAAATGCCAAAACGAATCGTCTTATGGCATTGGCATACTCCCATGTATGTGTTTACAGGCAAAAGCCGCTTTTAGGCAAAAACAGAAATGCCTATAATTTTAAAACATAACTGAAAGCCATAAAAATAATAGAAAATTTCTAAACAATTTAGGCAATGCCCGCAATAACTGAAAATTTTTAGGAAAAACAAGCAATGCCTAACCGATTTTAGGTATTTTCGTGTAGCCCCCTCAGAGACGTCGGTAGGTCGTAATATTATCGAAATAATTACTATTGCTTCTGCAGGACTATAGGAATTTTCGTGAACTGATACACTGAAAATCATGAATGAATAATGAGTCGTTAAAAAAAGTTAAAAAATGTCAGAAAAAGGCCCAAAATACGTAAATTCGCAAAAAACGGCCTTTTCTCGATGTTTAATGCACATTTTTCGACACTAGTTGATGATGATGTCTACATTCCGATTCACTTCAAAGCTCAAAACAAAACTTTATCAGCTAGTAGTCGACATATTGAGGAATCTTTTTAAATAGCCAAGGAAGTTAAATTCCGAATCTAACTCGATTAGATTTCAAGTTTTGTTTTTCGTTAATTTATTTACAATGTAAAAGTTTCTACAGTGCTCGGATCAATTTGAAATACAATTTTTCTAATAATTTAGACAATGTGCAAAAAAATCTCTTTTGCACATACACTGCCCGTCAATTACTTTTGCCATACCTGAGCGAAAAATGAGTAAACTTCAGTTTTATAGCTCATTCAAAAAAGTCGGATTGACATATTGAATGCTTCATTCGAGAGGTCTTTACTAGCACTTTAAAGCTATATCAATTGTTATTAGGTTTATTTATTTATTTATTTATTTGTCAAATTTTATTAACGATTAACGAATCAAAAATATTGCTTTTTTGTCTCCGCTATTTCTCTGGCCATTTTAGTTAGAAGGGTCGTAGAAACATTTTAAGCCTATGGATTATAGGTTTTGACTACACCTTTAAATCCTTTTTTTAAAGATTGTCTAACGAGCTTTTTTCACAAATATACAACCCTTTTAGTGCAAAAACGATCTTTTTTTTCGTTCGCATGTACACTGCGTTCAAAGGGTCGTAGAAAAATATTTTATGCACAAAAAAAGTTGGTTTTTATGTGTACAATAAGAAGCAATAGTTACAATCCGTTTCTGAATAAAATTTTTTTTTCCGATTTTTCATGCATTTTAACCCACCAACGCTCAAAGGGACGATATTTTTTGTTCACGATTGATGCGATTTTTTTCCATGTTTAAGGCCTTGAAATGACTTCGCCCATACGAAATTTTATGTAGAATTTAATGCCCTTTCATGATCAGTGCTCAAGTTTGAGATTTGTTGCTTAGTTAAAAAGTTATGGTTGCTTAAACAAAAAAATTTGTGCGAAAAAAAGCTTTAACGTTTACTTGTTTCCCATTTACTTTTTACTCTAGGTTTTTCTTTTTTCTTTATTCGTTGACTTTTATAGGTAACTATCATTTAACTATTCATAAACTTCTCATATAACTTCGAACTCACATACTTTATCAATATACAAACTTTAGACTTATTATTTATTTTAGTTTTTCTATGAATGTATCATATATGCATCGTATGAAACTATTGATTTTTATAGCCTTGTTTCTGGCACAAATATATTGATATTCCTATATTTACACATTGGTTGCTCTAACTTCATGAAAGTAAATAATCAAAATTATGAATAGCTTAAGTATTTACTTACCCAGCTACAGTTGTATACCCTGCAACAGGTTGACTAGCAGCAGCAGCTCCATATGCTCGAGCTGCAACAGCTGTATATGTGGCTGCTGCTGCATATGAAGCTTGCTGTGTTGACGAGAGTGGAGCTTTCAGTAATGGCGATGCAGCTGCAGCTGCAGCAGCGGCCTAAAAAAATATTATTATGATTAATATTTCTGTTTGCTAAGATACTTTAGATTTCTGATACTTTTTGAATTAACAGGTGATACTATTAAAAAACCATATAAACAACATACAATAGAACATACGCAGTTCCGAAACGTTCATTGTCTGTTAGGCCACCCCGAAAAATCATCGTGAAATTGTCAAGAATATAATTAGTAATGAGAATATTTATTAATTATCGTATATTGAGGGTGGCATTTGAACATATTCTTTAAAAGAAAGGGCAACGAGAGACAAGCACTAGCGAAATCCTAGGAAAGCACGAGTAACAGAGACTTCCATACTTCAGCAGCATTTTCACAACGAGCAGGTGAACGGCTCGTTTACTGTACTTAAAAATACAGATCATCGAACAAATTCAGCGTTTGCATTGAAATTCAAGCTTGTGAGATGCCCATTGAGCCCACAGAGAATACTTGATCTTCAATAAAAACTCGAAAGCCGAAAATACTTGATCTTTAATTAAAACTCGAAAGGTTAAACCTTTCCGCTGAACTTAAAAACTTCGTTCCATTTTCATATTAATGTGGCAAGATTAGGTAATTGAATTTGTTCGGGTAAAATTTGTTCATTACTGCCAACTGATTTTTTTATACGTTAACAACTTGTACTCGTTAGTTTCTCTCTCGCCATTAAGAGCTCTAAGAGGGCTTAAATATTTTTAATATTATATTCACAGTAATAGGCTGTAAAAGTGAAAAAAATTTTTTTGAAGAACAAGTATAACAACCTTTTTCAATAGCCGATTTGAAAGTACTTTGTCCACTTAGATAATCATAGGCATTTAAACACACTTATATTAGTTCAAAAACCTTCAGCAAAGAGTATTTGGGATATCTAAGCTGTTTGCCGCAAGATTCCAACATAGAGCATAAATCTGTTTTGTCCTACATAATTTCATTTTGTTCGATGGACAATTGGCCACCACTACAGCCTCAAGCTAAGCATATGATGAACTTTAACTACTTTCTTTTAAGTAACTACTTTACTAGTAGTAACTAGTTTTGTTATAGACCTTTTTGCATTAGGTAATAACTTTATTATTTAAAATGAATTGTTACTGTTGCTCACTGAGGGAAGGAACATGAAATAAATGTATAATGCTCCGATGAGATTCACCCACAAGACTTTATTATAAACCAAATAACTTAATACTATAGAAACAAAGCTTACAAGCTACGTCGGCAGATGATCGTCGATCTTGATGCTGGTAGTGGCTGTTGGTCTGCTGCGTCGAACGGCTGCTGCTAGACTGCTGCTTGGCCGTCGGTACCTGGCTGGTGGTGGCGGCGGCTTAGCTGGTGCAAGCTCGGATGTACCCTCACGAGCTTTACCGTTTGCGTATACAATACGTCAATTCAACACTCGCGGCTGTATAATTACAGTTACAAAAGCTAGTGCGCAGTTAATGAATTTCTATTGCTTCTCGCAAAATACAAGTATGTGTCACGTCACCCTTATTTTATTATAAACAATTATAATATTCTAAAAAATAATGTATATTCAAATAACGATAAACATGAAATTTCACTCTACGAACGGACGCGCCAGCCTCAATCGACGGGATCTGACGACATCAAGCTAAGTGAAAAACAAAACTATAAAATTGGTAAAAACATCGAGTTCTATGAAAAGAACATCGAAATCTACACCTGTTACAAAGGTGTGAAATAGACACGCCATGCAAAGCATTGATTAAATTTGAGGCGATGTCGGATTAACAGGAAGACCAATAAACTCGTAAAAATTAGTAAAAGCTGTCGTCAGATTCTCACGGATGAGCAGGTGCTGACAGGTACTTTCTCCTATTTTTGTATGCGAAATCTAGTAGTATATATTGAGGACCCACGGAGGCCTCTGTGCGATTCGACTATCAACTTATTCGGTGGGCAGAGCTCACGTCACTTTGTACCGCGATATTATATCATTTAGACTTGTATTAAATTGTGCCGCGAGTCCAATGCGGAGTGTAATTTGTAATCGAGACTAGTGCAGTTAGTGCAGTGCAGCCGACCAGGAACGCCAGCCAACCAGTTGCAGAGTGAGCCACGATCTACACCGAGAATCGTCCACCAGGCTTATGAATATTATTTTTAATTAGTTGAGTAAGCCTAGGTGTAAGTTAAACTTTTGTATTTGAATGGATGAATAATATTGCAGTGTAATTTATTATAACAAATAATAACGACTACTCCACTCCACACAAATAACTAACATCATATATACTTTCCTCGTTGTCACCAGCCAGAATAAAATCAATATATATTATTAATAATAAATTGGCTCTCCAGCCGTAACATATGTTTTATTCGAAGTTACTCGTTAAGTATATTTTATTACAAGTCCGTTTAATATGTTGCGGAGTCCCTACTATAATATTCTGAGTGTTCACGCACAGAGCTTCGCCTTACTCGAAGGTATAGAATGATCTGCCCCGAGGCCTAAGTTTTATGCTGTTTTAATACTAATTTAAGGTGGTTCTTTCAGTTCAAGTTTTTCTATAGTGAACTCTTGCCTAGAGCTGTATATTTTGTATGCGCAGTGAGCACTGCGCAGCCTGACATCAGCTGATTCATAGCAAAAACATCGTTTTTTTCACTTTGACGTGAAAAATCTTGATTTTTTGCAGCGTAAGCCCCATTTTACGATACACAGGCTGAAAGATGAGAGTTTTTTCTATAAAACCTATATACTCCGATACCCGAAAAAATTAATTTTTGATTAGAAATACCATATGAATGGAGGTCGTTCTATGCGTCTCGTGTTAAAATGGCATACTTTGAGATAAAATATCTCGAAATTTTGAAGCGTTAGCCCTATAAATAGTTATATCATTGGATTCAGCATGGTTTTATCTATACAGTAAGGTAGGTCTCATGTCTCAACAAATGTTGAAAGAACCACCTTAATAATGCATCTTTTCGGCGGGGGCACGTCTTGGTTCTTTTCCACAAATCGCAGATCTAAAAGCTATTTCGTCACTTGTTGACTTGTTGTCCGCAGATCAAAGATGTGCCCAATAATTATCTCGAGTCAGAGATGAGCCTAACAATTATCTCGGGTCATAGGTCAAGCTCTTGGTGATACGCGAGCTTGTGAGCGCGCGTGCGTTGTTTTTTCTACTCCGAGCCATTTAGAATTATGCCACGGATTTCATCTCTCCTGCGGGTGCTACGCTTTCTCTGTATTCAGCTTGCATACATACGCGGGATACATATATGTGCGGCTCGATCTAATGCGTCGGTGTGCGTTAGTCGGTTACACTCATGCGTACATTCAAACGACAATTGGCCCATGTGCGCTGTCGTCAGCCTCGCGTAGCATAGTGTACCTCTTGGCTGTACCGCCTCTTGGCTCGCGAGATCAAGCGTTATACGTGTTCGTTTAACGGTCTTATTTTAATTATTATATTTAAATTTTACCGTACTTAAGGGGAGAGATACCTTTACAAGGGGTTATTTGGGCGTTTTTTGCGATTTTTTTATTAGAAGCAATGATTCAATGTGATTGAAATTTATAGGTCATTTTGTACATGTTTTGAAATGTTTCTGTGAATTTTTTCAAGACAAAATCTTGCAGGATGGCGGAGTTACAAGCTCCTGCTCACAGCATCTCGCGTGCATTTTGCAACATTTTTTTTAATTGTTAACATCCTTCCTTTCAATATGAACCAACCAAATCATGAAAAAAGTGGAAATTAAAAAAAAAGGGGGCCATTTGAAAAAAAAATTGATTTTTCACCATTTTTTTCACACTTCGATGGGCCAAAAACAATATTTTTCATTCTTTTTTTCATATTTTTTTGGTTCATATTAAAGGTAATTTAATAACAAATTAGAAAAACTTTGATTTTTGAAGATCGGTTGATTTTTCGTGGAGTTATGTTGCACGCCAGTTGCGAAAATGTTATTTCGAGAAACGCGTTTAAAGTTTTTGAAAACTTTTATCGTTTGAAAAATTGTATTTAAAATGCTTACGTTCTAATCTGCTATTCCAGCGCCTACAACAATCCTTCCTCGGCCTCTAAAGCTTGAATTCGCTTTAAGGACTCGTCTGTTTTGGGTTTTCTAGCTTCTTTCGACTCGAGGGAGCTACGTCTGTTCTGTCTTATGACGCGGGCCGCGTCAATTTTTTCGACAAATTCGAAGCTTTGTGTACCAACTTGAATATCGAATTTTTCCATTAATAGAAATAATGTACTATGGCCCTCGTTGAAAATAGCAGTAGCTATAAATGATGCTACTTCGATTACTTTTAAGCCACAATGCAAATGTTTAGGGGCCAATCGCAAAATCGTAGAGTTAAAGCTCTCATTTGCGTTTTGGGTGTGCCCGCCTAAACATCTTGTTAGCAAATCTTCTCGAGATAAATCTTCGTAAATTGGTAGAATTTCTTTCTGTATGTCCGGGTGTAATGGAGTAGGATGATCTTCAGGATCAATACCAAGAGCCTCGGCTTGTTGCTAGATGTACCAACTGTCGTCGCCCGCAGGACAGTACTCGTGCCTCGAATTTTCATCGGTAGATATGAGATGATAATAAGTAGCCAAAATAGCACGTTTCATCCCTTCAACACTGTCAACATTTCTCAAAATGGCTAAATCATAATATGTGCTCAACTTTTTTATCAAAGTTTCGGTTAACTTTCCCTTGCCACCCAAATGTTTTGATTTTCTTACACTTCGAAACCGTGAGCCCATACGCTTTTGCACATGGCCTATGCACTCACTTTTTACAACCACTGGCTCGTTATTGTAGGTTCACATTGAAAAGCGCTGAAAATGTTTTCGAATCCCCGTCACCTATGTAAGTAACGTACTTTACACCGTGTAATTCTTCAAATCGCAAAAACATTTAATTCACCGATTCCACTTCCATGCTTCCCGCTGAGCCGTCGTAATTTTAAATGCAAGACTCTTCATCATGTTCTTCTTGCCACTCTAAATATTCTTCAGAATTCTT